AAAGCAACCTATGGAATGAACAGGTCAATATGTAAAACTGTAGACAGAAATAGTTTTCTATTTTCAGATCATGATATTTTTAAATATCCTGTAACTAGACGCAGAACCAAAAGACAACACCGGGACCATTTGCTGTGTTCATGGAAAATAAAATACAATCTTTTACAAAACTTCACAGTGCCTCGAGTCAATGCTGACTCACAGCGGCCCCTGTGGGTCTCCGAGACTCTAACTGTTCGTGAGAATAGAAAGTCCAGTCTTTCTCCCTTGGAGCTGCTGGAAGTTTTGAACAGCTGACCGTGGATCATAGGCCAGCGCTTAACCACTACACCACTAGGGCTCCATTTACAAAACTTAGCCTAGCCTTAATAAAATAGGTTACATTCACCTCCTTCGCCCGCCTGCCAAATGTAACATTGTTCAAAAAGAGGATGTCCCACATCCGAGGCTGGTGAGTAGCGTCTGGAGTCTGAAGAGCGCAGCCGAGAGGCAGCTGCTTGTCTCCACCTGCTTGGAGCCAAAGGAAGTGAAGGAAACCAGACACTCAATGAAGCAGCTAGTCCACAGGCAACCCACTGCCTCCTCCAGCGGAGACCATAAGAATAATATTTTAAAATATTTATCATTTTATTATTTTAAAATGATAAATATTAAAAATATTTTAAATTGGTGCTTGTTCTTTATTTAGAGAGCAATAAGGAATGATTAAAAAGGTTTTCAACTTGGGAAGACGTGTTCAGGTTTAGGTGTGAGGAAAATCACTTCGCTATCGTGGATAAGCTAGACAGGAAGTTGATGGCAAGGGAAAGGGCTGGGAGATGGCCGCCGCGGTAACCTGGCAAGTGGTCCATGGCAGTCTGAACCAGGAGAGCTGTTGTGAGAGGGAGCAAGAGGGAGGGGAGAGTCTGGAAGCAGAATCAAGAGTGATTTCATTAAGGGTGGCGAGAAAGGAAAGGAGTTAAATGATTCGGCAGTTTCTGGTTTGGGCAATGAGTACACAGTAAGGTAGGAAATAAAGGGGAAAGTGGTGTGGAGGGGATGGAATGATTACTTCCTTAATTCTGTACCTTCCTAGTATCATTGTTCCCCATATAAACCTCTTAACTGAGCCAGGAGGTGAGTTCAGTTCCAGACCCGAAGGATGGCTAAGGGTTATATGCTCAGGGGTTCTAACAGTCTGTCTAACCAGTAATCCTGGTCTTTATAATTTTGAGATTTGTGCCACACAATTTGTACAAATGATTGAATGGAAAACAAATTTGCTCTGCAAACTTTCACCCAATTCACAGTAAAATGTTCAAAATAAATAAGGAAATAAAATTTATTTGAAAATTAAAATCAGACAACAAACAGCTTCATTTAATGCTGTCCACATAAAAGCTTTGACACAAGTGTTTATAATTCATAATTGGTAAATACAGGAAGCAACCAGGTTTAACAGGTAAATTGATAAGCTGTGGTACATCCATACAATGAAATACTATTCAATAATAAAAATAAATAAGGCACCACTATTGGTCTTTTCTTGTCCAGAGGAAAGGACAATGATGAAATAAAGATATAGAAAAACAATTAGCCCAATGGACTAATGAACCATACAAAGATCAGTCTCCACTACTGTAGGGCTAGAAGAATTAGGTAGTGTCCCCCACCAACATAAATTGTTCTGAAAGGGATTATATTAGATGGTATTAGACAGAACTGGAGAAAAATATGGAGCAACATTCAAAATCATAAAAGAGACCAAATTTACTTGTCTGATAGAGATTTGTGGAACCCCCCCCAAACTACAGTCGTTGACAACCTTTAGGTGCAGAAATGAACTCAGCCCCATGGTTCAATTTCCAGCCAAATGACAGGTCTATAAGAGAAACAATAACACTAGTGAGTAGTACACACCTCAGAATAGTCAACTACGTAAGATCAGAAGGGCAGTATTTACCCAAGGACAAAATTCAGAGTTTAGGAAAGAAGAATTGGAAACAGGAAAGAAGTAGGATACGTGATAGGACACTGATAGGATTGCAAGGAATGAGATAAAATTTTATGTATTGTTGAATGTAAAACTAAGGATCTGCTCTGTAAACCTGCATCCAATTCACAATAAAGTGTCAAGAAATAAAGGTGCTATAAAGCTATAAAGACATGAGGAATCTTAAAAGTATATATGATAGAAATCACATGGAAAACATTATATTATTCCAATGATACACTCTGAAAAGGTAAAACTATTATAACAAAACAGTTGTCATTCAGTTGGTTCTGATTCATAGCAGTCCTATACACAGAGTAAAAGTTGTGCTCCATGGAGCATTCGACACTTGATTTTTCACAAGTAAATCTTCAGGTCAGAAAATTATATGTATGCTACCTTTGTAACTAAGAAAAGTCCTATGCCTCTACCTATATACTAAAAAGCAATACATGAAAAAGAAAGTTAGTATTAGGCTGACAGAATTTTTTAAAAGGTGAATAATATTGCCACATCATTATTCAATTAGGAAAGATATTTTTCGGCATCTCACTTCCAAGACAGCTCTCAACCTAGCCCTTTAATAAATATTAACCAAATTTCACCAACTAAAATAAGCCTCTTTTCCAAATCCTCCAGGTTCAAGTAATCTGGAGCTTCTTCCTACTATCAACAAACAAGTCAAAGAAAAGTGACAATTTTCTTTTTGAACAAATAGTTGTTTAAAAATCTGATCTCTTCAGTTATCAGGCATCAAAGAACAAAAAATCATATTCTTGTGTGCTCACCTCCATGATACGATCACTGAAGACAAATGGGTGCATAAGCAAATGTGGCAAAGAAAGCTGATGGTGACCGGCTATCAAAAGATATAGCGTCTGGGGTCTTAAAGGCTTAAAGGCCTCATCTAGCTCAGAAGCAACAAAGCCCACATGGAAGAAGCACACCAGCCTATGCAACCACGAGGTGTCGAAGGGATCAGGTATCAGGCATCATCAGAACAAAAAATCTTACCATAGTGAATGAGGGCGGAGTGCAGAGTGGAGACCCAAAGCCCATTTGTAGGCCACTGGACATCCCCTTACAGAAGGATCTCAGGGAGGAGACCAGCCAGTCAGGGTGCGATGTAGCAATGATGAAAAATACAACTTTCTTCTAGTTCCTAAATGCTTCCTTCCCTACCCCCACTATCATGATCCGAATTTTACCTTGCAAGTCTGGCTAAACCAGAGGATGTACACTGGTACAGATAGGAAAGCTGATGGTGAACAGGGTGGATGATCCCTTCAGGACCAGTGGTGTGAGTGGCAATACTGGGAGGGTAGAGGGAGGGTGGGTTGGAAATGGGGAACTGATTACAAGGATCTATATGTGAACCCTTCCCCAGGGGACGGACAACAGAAAAGTGGATGAAGGGAGACATCGGACAGGGCAAGCTATGACAAAATAATAATTTCTAAATTATCAGGGGTTCATGAGAGAGGTAGGAGCGGGGAGAGAGGGGAAAAAATGAGGACCTGATGCCATGGGCTTAAGTGGAGAGCAAATGTTTTGAGAATGATGAGGCAATGAATGTACAAATGTGCTTTACACAATTGATGTATATATGGATTGTGATAAGAGTTGTATGATCCCCTAATAAAACGATTTTAAAAAATCTGATCTCTTACCCCAACCTCTTAAATAAATCCAACTTTTCCATTTGTTCTACATAGTTGAACTGAGAAGATTTTACTGTGTAACTGAACTGTCATGGTATTAATGTACATTGATCACGGCCTGTCTTCATGCCTGTCTTACTCCCCAGATCCCTATTCCACATCAGTGGTAACCTCCTTCAACTACCCTCTCACTCTCTTCTGTGCATGTATTTTGATGATGATTTTCTCATCTGACCTTGTCATTCTCTTGTTCAGTATTTTAAGAAATCTCTCCATTATCTCAATTCCACCCCTCAGTAATACAGCTCTTCACATGGCCTAACTTGTAGTTCCTACTTCCTTCTCAAAACCTTAGTATCACATTTCATTTTAGCGGAGTCAGGGTGGGTTACCCCTGTTTTTAAGCAGTTGCTTTTTGCTAGCCCTAGTACAAACTGCCAGTGTTGCAATTTTCTGTTTATGCCACCATGTGAAAAATACTGGGCAGCACCAAAGCTTAAGACGAGATCTCTTCGTGGCTTCATACTTATACTCAGAATAATTGTTTTTAGAATAATCCTTAAACGCCATTAAATTTATTAAGTTAGATATTTAAAAATATATATATATCTTTCTCTCACCTCTCTAGAGTATATCTCCCATCTTAAGACATGAAGCATTTAAGGAAGACACTCAATGCTTGTTTCACATTTGCTTCAAGCGTAATGCCAAGTTGGTTACTACATTTTATAATGGATGTTTTCTAACATATGCAAAAGTAAAGAGAAAAGAATCATGAGGTCAGCTATAGCTTCACTGTGCTTCCATAATCAACTCCTAGCCAATCTTGTTTCATCTGCAATGTCACCCACGTTCTCTTCTTTCATCATGGGAATATTGTGAAGCCTAGCCTAGACATCATATTTCATCCCAAACTATTTCAGTATGCATACTTACATAGTAAAAGATACTGTTGAAAGATACATATCAAAAGATTCTAATTGAATCTCATGTAAGTTCTGGTACTGGTGGGTCAGATTGCTGACATACATAGTACCCCAGTAGTCATATATTTCACTCACTGGACTCTACTAAGCATAATATTCTAATATACCTCCTTACAATTTACAATATTAGAAATTAAGTGTCAACCACAAAAGCGGTTCTAAAGTTAGTTTCATTATAATAGGAGCATTGATCAAGGCTGGTCTTAGACATCTTAGGGAAGAGATAAAGAAGACATCCATAAATCCTCCTCTTCTCAAAACAGCAAACATTGTTTGGTTTAAGACAACACATTAGTATACATAAGTACTTATTATAGCTGCATATGTATATAACACTATAATAAGACTAGCTAATTTCAGGAAAATTTTATTCAAGTAATCTTACCTTTTGTTGGACTGAGATTCTGATCTGTAAATCCTCTTAGTTCTGTATTTTTGGAAGTCAGACCAACCTGAATAAGATAGTTCCAAGTATTAAAAATGGAATCTTATATATTGCTTAATCATTTAGTAAGCTATTTTATACTTTCCACCATATCCCAATATCAGATATGTACAGCTACACCATGGAAAAAACAACTAATTATATTAACTAGAACCCAAACCAAGCCCACCGCCATGAGCCAATTCTGATTCATAGTAATCCTACATAGGGTTTCTGAGACTGGGAACCTTTATGAGGGCAGACAGCCTCAGCTTTCTCCCAAGGTGCAGCTGGTAGGTTTATAGAGATAGGAAAAATTAATAATTAAATAAAAATGAATTCACATGAAGGTAAAAAATTAAGAAAGTGATGTAACAAATGAGAAGATCTAAAATCAACAGATTTTATTGTTGTTGGTTTTTTTAAAAGCAAATATTCCAATCTGGTAGATATGAAGTTAACTTTAGCTCTATCAAAATCCCACTCTCTCAATTTTTGTTCTTCTTACTCATTGCCTACAATTCTCTTTTACACTAAGACATGGTTTTTTTGGTATGCTGTTGAATTCTCGTTGTTTTTACCTAATGCAACTACAAAAGTTAAATACATTTTGATGTAACAAAAATTATAGTTGATGATTTATCATCTACATATTAAAGAATTTCAACAAATATTTTAGTATAGCCAAAGACTTAATATTTGAATTTTTACCATTTAAAAAATATGAAATTCTAATACTCTTATTATTTGTCTTGCAATTTTTAAAGTTTTAGCTAAACCATGAGTTTTTGCAGGTGAAAGCAAGAGTTTTCCTATACTGAGGAAAATTAAATTATTACTAATAAAGTGCCATGCTGTATTAGGAAATGCCACTTCAACAATTTCATTTTTTGAGGAGGACACATTTCAGTTCAAAAGTACATAATAGTACAGTACTGTTCACTTTATCTATATTAGTATAGAATATTTATTTGCATTATACTCTGCAACAAGGATACGAGTGCTTATCAATAGTAGGCATTAACCACAGTGGAGAATTCCTCTCAAGAAAGATCTTAACTATGATGAAAAGTTGTACTAAACTCACAAACTGAACTCACTGCCATCAAGTCAATTCTAACACACAGTGATCAGTTAGTTAGTTGTATAATCATCACAACAGTTTAGGTGGTCAGAATATTTTTAAAGTACAATCTTGAACTAGAAGAAATCTAAGGCTACCACTACTGAGAAATAGAGGGACTGTATATAAACTTAAAATAAAATAAATCCATCTTTTACTAAACTAGGTTTCTACTTGTAAGGAAGGAGAAGGATAGTGGTGGATAGCAAAGCTCGGCACAAGTACGTTTCTAGCAAGTGACAGCCTGATATGCATTGCTCTAAGATGCAGCCTCACATAAGGAAAATGTGCTTATTAGTTGTACGCCGTGATTCTCAGGCACTTGACCTCACTTGGTAGTAAAGCTGATGCTCATAATTATTCAGACGGAAAACATTATATAAACTATATAGTAACTTCAAGCCATGTTCCCACAGAACATCTGTGTTCCATAAGCTAAATCCAAATGTTCCCTGTTAAAATAAAAGAATGTTGTGCACACAATACAGATCAATGCTAACAGATTGAATTATCTCAATCTAAAGATTATCCACTACAAATTTGTGTTAAGTATTTGTTGCCTATTACTTGATGGATTGCTAGCAAGAAAATAGACGTGAAAACAATAAAATAGTATGCCTACATAATATCAGAAAATTTGAAATAGATGGTTATTAATTCAGTAGCTTGTTCTGTTAATAAAACTATGCCTACAATTTTGCTCTTACACTACTTGTCATATTTTCTCATAGTAAATGTGTCCCCAGCTCATAATATAGATTTCAATATGTAAACACTTTAATGTACCCAAAAGAGCATTATGAATTTTCTATTTATTGTCTCTAAGTGTTTGAGAACCGTGACATTACTGTCTGGCTTTACAACTCTCTTTGGGGACCATGAAAAGGAATGCTCTTAGGTATATTACTAGGGTTAAGGTTCCAAGAAAAGATGCCCACCTTCCACTCCCCAGGGAAAAATATGGCAAGATTACAGTCTCGATGTTACTGCTGTTTCCATTCCCCTCTCCTAGAATACTTAGAGCACATTTAATTATACGGACACTAAGGGTTTTTAATTTACAAGTCTCATTGTATTGTGATTTGGGAAATTTTCACAACATACTTTCAAGCAGTTAGCTTTAAAATCATGAAACTTCAACTCATAGTAAAACCAGCCCTGTGAATTTGAATACATTCAAATTACAGCTCAACTGGAAATAACTAGCTGAGAAACATTAAAGTATAAAAACAAATTCTGGAAAAGTCGTTAAAATAAAAACCTATCACCATTCTGAGACACCATCAGACTCCAGTACTTTTTGAGTTGTGAGGGAAGGCTTTGCAAAAAGAACACACATACAAAGCTATGTGTACACATGCACACACTCATATTCTGCTGCAATGAAAAACTATGTACCCAAATTATACTAATCAAACATTTTAGTGCAGCATTTCCCATTAAAGATAGCATGCTTTGGCTGCAGAAAAAGTTGTGGTAATTAATATAAAGCCCTGGTACAGAAGTTTGAACCTAAGTAGAGTCATATAAAGCCCTGGTACAGAAGCTTGAACCTAAGCAAAGTCATATAAAGCCCTGGTACAGAAGCTTGAACCTAAGCAGAGTCATATAAAGCCCTGGTACAGAAGCTTGAACCTAAGCGGAGTCATGAGCTTTATTAGCAACAGCTTAAGCAACTGACTGACAGCCCTCAGAGGGGAGCATGAAAGAAACATCATAATTATGTTTATTATGCAAATTCTATGTCTCAGTGGTGATGATTTGATCTATCTCAGAGGGTATACAAATTTGTAGCAAATAAGAGACAACATAGTTTGCTAGAGTAGCAATAAAATGTTCAGGAAGAAACACATTTGACCTATTAATACTGTCCATAAA